AAAAAAAAAATCTGACGTCGCCTCGACGACATCGCCTCGTGTGGGGAGAAGAGAGGCGATGTCGCACATTTTTTCTAAACTTATATATAAAAAAAAAATAAATATATATAAATAAAAGATTATATATATATATATATATATATATATATATATATATATCAAACGGTATACCGCTCGGTATATAGTACGGTACCGTACTAAGCGAATCTCGAAATTCCGGTATGGTATGATATTTCAATCCTTAGTTAAAAGTATATCAACATATAATTTGTGAACCTGAGAGAAAATAAAAAAAATTGTTTACAGGCTTACTTAAAGTAGGCAAAACAAGAAGATTTGATGCTAGTCCAATTTTTTAAAATGTCCACTTTGTAATGATGTTTCATTTTCAGTTTCATAGATAGGTAGCTACTAAGATTTTTCATATTGTCATTACCACTATGAGCGTGAACTAGGTCCAAAAATTGATTATTACAATAACAAACAGAAATATATGCAGAATTCCTTCAACACTAAAAGAAACATTTTGTTCCAATTACTGCAAAATGCTTTATGCCTGTTGTTAACATCTGTGAAGCTAATGCTGTCTTATATTGTTTCTAGACACCATTTTCATTCACTCTGAGTCCTCAGGAGAATGATACTATTGCAACATTCTATGAGACGTTTCATGGTGGAAATATTAGCATCCAGGTACTTAGTTTAAAATGATTGCTTAACCTGCATGTAAATCTGCTATGTTAAACATGCTACATATGCTGACTAGCTCAGTAAATTGCATGTAAATCAGCTATTTTTATACTTCTCATTCCTATCCCAACAGCAAGTAAAGATTTTCCTATTTCACATGGAGGAGTGTGCTTCTTGATGTTGGGTGTTTTTCTGTCGTGTGACCTGTTGGCTTGACTAAACTAAAATGCCTGTATAGCTGATAGAAAAAAATGCCCATAGAATGCCGTATTAAAGGGATCTCTCTTACGGCACCAATGAGCCAGCTAAGAAGTAATGCAAGGCTTGTTTCCCTCACTACTGAACAAAGGAAGAGACAACTGCAACCAATTGTACCTGTGATTAACACTGATTGAACTGGCAACAGAAATGAAGTTTAGTCCTCCCTTTCACTCGATTAAACCCCAAATGCAATGGCCTTTGGAAGCAGGCAGCCACACCATTGAACATAACTTCACAGCGGGCTCGTTAGATACGTGGGATGAAGGGTCCGTAGTACCTGATAGTGCAGCTATGCAGTGGAAGGGAAGGAGCCTTTTCCTTGGCAAAGTTATCCTACATGCATCCATTATGGAGACTTCCATCAATGGGAATTTAGGGTAGACTAGGTTTCATTTTAAGCATGTGCATTCTGTAGAAGCAAGCGTAGAAATGAAAAGCATCAGACTTTTTCACAGTACAATGACAAACATCAAGCACGCGCATTCTATTTGCAGCGAAGGTGTTCGATGTAATGTTCATGCTTTTAGAATTGTTCATACCATAGGCAGCATGTAAGGGGTTGCATAGGCTTGGCAGCCTCATTTTAGTCGTTTCTAGTTTGTAATTGCAGCTTGCATGTGGTTGTCACGTGTGAAGGCAAAACTGTCCAAAATTGGAGTGTTCAGTCCCCAATCCATTGGGATATCTTGGTTGATCAACAAAGGATGAGTTCGCACATGTCTAGATTGGTTGATCGATGATTAAAAGAGTTTGTGCAAAGGCTTATAGAACTAAGGGGATTGTTGACTAAAAGAATTTGGTATTCATGCAATGACTTGTATGTGGACTAAGAGTGCCAATGGGCAATAAAACACATAGTGCTATGAAGTATAAAAACTTTCTCTTATTCATTAGTGAAACTCTAAATTGTGTAACCTGTGCAACGAGTTTAGTATGTTGCTAGCCCTGCGGGTATTTTATAGGAACAAGTGCATTTGTAGTGGTGGAACAACGTATTATTTTGTTCTTTACAAGATGGAGTATTTTTAGACGTTGGTCTCTAAAAATTTAAGGGATATAGACAAATACAAAAGTTGCTCAAACAAGACAAGTTTTTGGAGGATAAGTCTCAAATTCTTGGTGGAGGATTCATGGGCAATAAAACACATATTTCAAGGAGATACCTAAAGACGGAAAGCTCAAAGGATGTCGGAATGGAGCAAGTGATCGGGAGTCACTCTATAATTGGAACCAGCGAAGACCTAGCAATGTGTAGGCAAAGTCCACATAAGAGAAGATCACTATCCGAGTTTCTAACACCAAGATCAAAGGGTAATGTTGATGTTAGCAGGAGGCGATAGCACAATAGATTATGGTGGAATAATTCAAGACTGACACACTGGCTAACCCCATAAGGGACCTAATTGTTAGGATCGTTTTGACACTAAGGGAATTAGTGCTTTTGTAAAAACGTCGGTTTGAAAATTTCGAACTATGAAAACATATCGGAAATGCGTTTAAACTTAGAGAGCAAATGAGAGTAGTAGACAATTGAATCAATAAGTAATGATAATGAAAAGCAGAAAGAAAGTGCACACCGAGTTTATAGTTGTTCGGTCGTTGCAACCTACGTCCACTCCCGATTCCTCTTCCGTCGAGGCCACCGGCGTTCATTAATGATCTTCTTTCAATGGATGAAGACTAGCTACCCTCTTTACAACTCTTTCTTCTTTTCACAGGTTTAGGAGAAAACCTTTACAAGTCTCATACCTCCCTTAGATAGAATTCTAAACTTTTAAAGAAAAGGAGGGGAACTCTCAACACTTTTCAATATTACAACTTTGATTCACTAGCGTTTTAGTTCACTTTTTCTTGTGTCTACCCAACAGGGATGAGTGAGGTATTTATAGGCTTTAAATTACTTAAAAAAAGACTCAAAAATTAAAATTTCTAGGTCTTCCGGGTACGGGCGGTACCATCTCCTACACTAGGCGGTATTATCGCCAAGCAGAGCCTGAGAGATCGGGCTCTGGCGGTACTACCACCAGCTTGGGCGGTACCATCGCTTGCCGGCATTAAGGGCTAGCGGTACCATCGCTAGTTTGGGTGGTAGTACCACCAGACAACCTGAGAGACTATGTACTTGACTTTTCCAGCTTATAGGCGGTTCCACCGCTAGTTAGGCAGTACCACCGCTTGACCCAGTCTGCCTCTTAATGGGCCCAAATTAACCCCAAATAAGGCTCAATGGACCCTTAATTGAGTTAGCATGGTTACACCCAAATCTAACTCAATTAGACCTAAACTATGGCACTCAAGACAAGAATTTTATGTTGTCCGGTATGCGATCGGTTCATTTGAACTTCCAGCGCGTCGTCCGAATCTTTGGCGTATCGCTTGATCCATCGGCATGTTGACTCCCACAACGTCTAATCTTAGCGCAACGTTCGATTCTTTCGGCCCGTTGCTCGATCTCTGACTCCGACTCAACTTTTGATTCTTCTGTTTTAATTGTTTTGTCTTTTCATGATCGAAGCTAGTCCTGCATCACTTTTCTCAAACCGTATATTAGATCGTAAACTCATCAATTGATTCTATCATCAAAATTCGGGATTCAACAATCTCCCTCTTTTTGAGGATGACAACCAATTGATTACAGAGTTTAACTAAACTCCCTCTATCTATATGCCATATCGAAATAAACTTTGAATTCAAAACAATGATAACCTACTAATCATAATATCTTTGAATTCAAGTCAAAACAATCATGAATCATAGTGATCATATGCAACACATCATATCACAGTTATCTTTACTTACATCATATGTATATCAGTGCATATATCATCATAAGTTGAAGTATTACCTGTATAATTGATCATATACAAGACATCATTACTTACATCATTATCATAAGTTGAAGTATAATTCCAAATCATGCATAATTTCAAAATATCAAGTCATCATTACTTTAGGCATATCATGCATGATATCAAAACATTAACATTTTTAAACCATTCATCATTACTTCTCCCAAATCATCATGCATAATTCCAAAATATCAAATCATCATTACTTTAGGCATATCATGCATGATATCAAATCATTAACATTTTCAAACCATTCATCATTAATTCGCCCCCTTTGTCATCAACAAAAAGGAGATAAGTGCAACTAGCAAATTTTTGAAACATACAAGTTTTACATCAACTTATAAGATATATAAGATGGGCAAGCTAACACATTTGTTTCTCTTGAGATATGTAAGATAACACTTCTCTTCTCTCCTAAGAAAAATGTTAATTCACCCATCAAACTCATTTTTAATTTTTGACTCGTACTTTTGGCAAAAGATTTACACAAAGACTTATTTGTAAAATAAAAAATAATATCATCAACATAAATTTGAACAATAAGAAAATTATTTTTTAAATATTTAATAAATAATATGGTATCAGCCTTGCCTTTCGAGAAGTTATTTTGAATAAGAAAACAACTAAGCCTTTCATACCAAGCCTTAGAGGCTTGCTTCAAACCATAGAGAGTCTTAGATTACTTATAAACATGATTTGAAAAAAAAAATATTTTCAAATTCGGATGGTTGTTCAACATAAACTTCTTCGGAAATAAAGTTATTTATAAAAGTACTTTTGACATTTATTTGAAATAACTTAAAATTATTACAACACGCATAGAAAAGGAGTATCTTTATAGCTTCAAGTCTTACCACAGGAGCAAAAGTTTTTTTATAGTCGATACCTTCTTCTTGGTTGAAACCTTTGGCCACTAATCTAGCCTTGTTTCGAACCACGATACTAAGTTTATCTTGCTTGTTTCTAAAGACCCATTTAGTGCTAATTACAAGATAGTCACTAGGTCCAAGAACAAGTTTCCACACCTCATTTCTCTCAAATTGATTTAACTCTTCATGCATTGCAAAGACCTATGAATCATCTTTTAGAGTATCGTCAATGCATTTGGGTTCGATTTGAGACAAAAAAGCAACATTAGCACAAAAATTTTAAAATAAAGAACGAGTTTGAACATATTTTGATGTATCTCTAATGATTAGCTTCTTAGGATGAGCATATACATACTTTCATTCCTTAGGTAAGGATTCTTTTGAAATGGATACATTTAAAGTATCAAAATAAAAATCATTATCAAAATTATTTTTCTTAAATTCAGAAATGTCATTAAAAACAACATGAATAAATTCTTCTATAACCAAAGTTCTTTTATTAAAGACACGAAAAACTTTAGAAATAGAGGAATATCTAAGAAAAATGTCTTCATCGGATTTTGCATCAAATTTTCCTAAGCCATTCTTTTTATTTAAAATAAAATATTTACAACTAAATACTTTAAAATATGAAATGTTAGTTTTTTTATTGTTCCACAATTCATAAGGAGTTTTAGAAAGTAATGGTCTTACGAGAACCCTATTCATGACATAGCATGCCGTGTTAACGGCTTCGGCTCAAATATATTTGGGTAGGCTGTGTTCATTAAGCATGCTTCTTGCCATTTCTTGTAAACTCCTATTTTTTCTTTTAACAACTCTATTTTATTGAGGGTTTCTTGGAGTGGAGAAATTATGGTCATACCCATTTAACTCACAAAAATCTTAAGAATCATGGTTTTTAAATTCACCACCATGATCACTATGAATAGAAGAAATCATAAAACCCTTTTCATTTTGAATTAGTTTACAAAATTTTAAAAAACATTTAAAGCAATCACTTTTATGTGCCAAGAAGTAT